TGGATTTGAATTGACAATTACATCTCTGTGCTGATGTGGTATGGCGACATGAACTGATGTACTTACGTACAAAGTTCTACGTTGCATCTGACTGACTGACTGACTGACTGACTACCTATATGCACAAATTCTAAAGTAATGTGTCATGTCACCGACATTTACTGATATCGCATTTTTTTAAGTTTGCCAATCAGAAATCCAGTTGCTGTTCTTCTAATCCATATCTACGTATTCCATATATAGTCTAGTGTTTGTATTTTTGATCAAATGAGATGTGTTGACAGATACAATGAACCTTAAGCTGTTGTAAGCCTTACTCCTACTATTCCACTGATTCTATCCTCAATTTTGAAGTTTGAAACAAAAGCCAGACTTCTACGAATAATTTTTTCCAATAAAATATGAGTTTATCTACAGACAATACCAAACTATTTCATACGACAAAATTGTCAATCATAATTTAGTTAACTACAAACAGGTTAAAAGTGTCAGTAAACTAACTGTACAAGCTATAACTAATCAATTGGACAGTGTCTATTAGAAATTATAAAATTCATAGTAATAAATAGTTCATGTATCATATAGAAGCGAACAATGAATGAAATATAGTTATACAATATTATAAATTAATGAAATACTCCTAAGAATTACTAGTTCCTCAGAATTTATTCTGATCTTTAGATCAGTTGATTCACCAAAGTACAAGCAGATCGACTAAAATATCTATTTTTCAATTAGAGCTATGGAAATAAGTGTTTTTTGCACATTGAAATCATCAGTCAATCATTGCTAGACCACTAGTGACTAGTTTCGTGAGAAAATTCTCGGAGTTCTAGTGAGAAGATGTGACCAGTGGAGTTCAACGATGTTGGGTGTAGGCAGTAACTACGGAAGACAAATAGGTGAGGTCGCGCAAAATCTGTAGATTGATCAGAGTGAGACATTAACACCGTTGGATGCCGGCCCAGTGGTCCAGAGGTTGGGTGTTCGCGCTCAAAACCGAAGGTCCTGGGTAGAATCTAGAGAAGTGCAGGGGTCGTGGATGCGTACTGCCGCTGATGCTCCCATACGAGGACGGAACGGCCATCCAATGCTTCCAGGTTTCTAACAGTGGTCTAACAATGATTGATTGGTGATTTCCAATGTGTAAAATGCCTATGTTGAAGGTGCATGAATTCTGAAGTGTCTAGCTAACGATGAAGTGTAATTTTTTTTTATAAAGCGCCTAAGTAAGATTATGAGATTGGCATTTTCAGTTAACCAGTAAATTAAAAGATCTAAAGAAACAGAAAATTTGCTTGAAATACTGACATAATTGAAAAATATACTAGTTCAACTTGAATTTCAATTTACTTGATAAATTTTAGACTAATTATATTTATTCGATACTATTTTCCACTTACTTACTTAATTACTGAAGCCTCTTATCCCTAATATAGAATAGGTCACTTACCAGCATTCTCCAACCTACTCTGTCCTGGTCCTTCCTTTCCAGTTCCACCTAATTTCTGTTCTTTCTTTTCATGTCTGCTTATGATTCTCAGCTCACTGTATTCTGTGGTTTTCCTCTTCTCCTTTGGTCTTGAAGATTCTAATTTAGAGCTGGATTCGTGATATAGTTGGGTGATTTTACGTAATGTAAGTCTTATCCACCTCTAGCGCTTCTTCATAATGTCTTCCTCTGCAGGAATCTGGTTCTTTCTTTTCCATAGTAGTTTGTTGTTTATACTGGGCGGTCAATGAATCTCGAGTATCTTGCGTAAACATCTGTTAATAATAAACGCTTTTATCTTGTGGATGATGGTTCTTGTGGTTCTCCGTGTTTCCTGTCCATACAGTAGAACTGTTTTGACATTTGCATTGAAAATTGTAACTCAAGTGTTGGGTGACAGATAGTTAGTTATATTCTTCACTTGTAATAATGCTCCTTTTTGTCTTGCCGATGCTCACCTGCATCACATCCATCTTGTTCATCAATAATGATACCTGGGAATATGTAAAGCTTTCTACATCCTCCAAAGCTTCTCAATCAAATGTGATTTAGTTAGTGCATATATTAGGATATAATACCGATTTATTATTGGATACAACCAATTTCAATCCTACACAAACAGTTAATGCAGTAGTACAATTATTCGAAATGATCAATCATAGATTTTTGAACTTTTTTTGAATATTCAAACAATCCATTTGTTCTATTGTCCTTCAAATGAATGATCAAGTGATTTTGATTACTCAATGTATAGCTTGTGAATTTTTATGTTAATTAAGCATTTTTTCGGTAGTCTTACGTTATACTTTTATTTAAAGTTGTATAGTTTGGTAATCGAGCAATCGATTACGAATGACATCAATATCTCAAGCATCCGAATGATAGACATATGAATAGAGAAACATTAACATTCTACATCTAGGCGGTAAAATAAGTTTTAATTATTTCAATAGTGAAAATAGTCTACTATTGGATTTGAATTGACAATTATATCTCTGTGCTCATGTGGTATGACAGCATGAACTGATGTACTTACGTATGAAGTTCTACGTTGCATCTGACTGACTGAATGACTGAAAATAGTCTGAATGAACCTATAGACTTAAAACATAGACTTTCTGGTGTTTTTAAATATCACAGATATATATTGAAAGTTACATATTTTAAATCATCATTCAGTCATTGTTAGACCTTGCATTAAAAAAGTGGAAGCACTGAACGTCCGTTTCGTCCTGATATAGTACTCATCGGCAGTGCGCATCAAGGACTCCTGCACCTCACAGGATTCAAACCCGGGACCTTCGGTCATGCGCACGAACGCCTAAAATCTGAACTACTGGACAGGCGTTGAATGCTGTTATTGTCTAACTCTGGTTGATCTAGAGATTTTGCACGACATCAGCTATTTGTCCTCGGTAGTTACTGCCTACACTCGACAGATTTGAAATCCCTATGGTCATATCTTCTGACTAGAACTCCGAAAATTTCCTCACGAAACTAGTCATTAGTGAGCACATTGTACGATTTTTTTCCATTACAGTCATAGAGATTACTATTTTTCGCACATTGAAATCATTAATCATTATTAGAGCCTAACATCATGGACAACACAGACGTCTTTCATTGCTTCCAGGTTTCTAAAGATGGTCTAACAATGACTGATCAATGATTTCAACGTGTAAAAAAACTGATCTCCGTAATTCTAATTGAAAAAAAAAACACAATCAAGATTGTTAGTTTTATTTCACTTCATATTCGCCACTATTTTTTTTTTTAAATAGACTAGTAAGAATAATCCTACATACATTTATAGATTACTTAAATTTCAAACTTATATCAACTGAATAACCTTGAGACAACTAGAAAAGAATAATGTTTTTTACTGAAAATAGTTTAAAATCATTTTTTTTAAAGCCAAAAAATTATTACAGTTGACATTAAAAAGAATAATGTTTATTGATAGATGATAGACTTATGTAGTTCTAAGAAAAATTTCTGTAATACGGAAAAAAATTTATTCTTCAATGTATGTATGATATGCGTCAAAAATGTATTGTAGAAAGTTTCAGTTTTTTCAAATGAAAAAAAAGGAGTAAAATTTTGAGAGTGACATTTTTAAAGTTTCACCATCTTTGTTTGTTTGTTTTAATTTGTTGATGCTTTACAATGGAGGTAATTTCAACCAAACAACTGTCAAATTTTTTGAATTATGAAAAATGTCGTGTTTTTCACAAAAAGTATACAAATATTAGGTAGGTAGGTATGTTGTGTTGATGAATTTTTTTGCGATTAAGAACTGATAGGAAAAAGTTTATAAATGGACAAGAGATAGAATGATATCAGGGTTTAACTTTAACATTTGTTTAATATGATTTATTTCAATTGGCCTAGTTTGTTGTGTTGATTAGTCTTAATTAGTATTTAGCATGCAATTTCACGACATAGGCTTGTCTTTTGTTCATAAATTTTTGTTGGCGACGTTAGATCCCTAGAACTCACTTGATAAAAGGGTCACACTATTGGATTTTATGCTTTCGCACATGGGCCGCTCAGTTGACCACTCGGAAAATCTTTGACTGTCATTGGTTGATATATTATTTTGTGGTACGAGCTACTTATAAGTGGTATATGACGCGAGTAAAAAACGTAATGTCTGGCAGCAGAAGATGGGGGAAGATCAAGAAAGGAAGAGTGGGAACACAACTGAATTTGTATGGAACGGATGAACAGTGACTATGGATTGATGTTTCGCAACAGGAACAGTCCAGTTCGATATGATGGACTGATATTTTGCAAATTAACGATTTACGAAAAGGTTTTCGGTTTTACTGAGTAACTCTGTAATTTTCGTGAAATACATTCCGATTGCCCCACCTGTGTTCTCGTTCACTACAATTTTGGTAGGCTATTTTTGTGGTTTTCCCAAGGACGTTTCTATCATGTATAAATAAGAGGTTAACATTAAAGCGAATAGAATGAATATGCACGTAGGTGATAAGCGATGCTCAATCATACCTGCTCATACAAGCACAGCAATAATAAAAGTACACTGGTTCAGAAAAGTTATGGCTATACAAACAAATTAATAAAAGGCCTAAACCAAATTCACTGGGAACAAACTCAAATGTTATGTGAAGTACTAAAGGGTATTTTTTAAAAATTAAATTGCTTAAATACGTATTACAACTATGAAAAAAAGCTTCCGCTCTATAAATCATTCATCTTTCATTTTTAGAGATTTCAAATTTTTAACCACATGTTAGTCAATGATAATGAAGATGATAATAAACAAAGGTATTCAATGTTACACAATATATAACATTAGCATTTTGACAATACAATAAAAACACTTTATTTCATCTATTCTCTAAAAAGCAATAATCAAATTATTAATAATATGTATATTTAAACAGAATGTCTGCTATCAACAAGATTTTGAAAAAACAAACAAACGCCATAAATACCTGTTCTGTATGAATTTTTTGAACAACAATCAATATATCAATCAATGTTCAATGATCAACGATATTTACAAACTATAACAACACTTTCAAATTCCACACTTCAACTAACTCAACCATCACAGATTCTCTTAGAAGAAGACCAAACACATCAAACATCATCATCATCACCACGTGTAACAGATCTAGAAAGCGCAATCAATTCAGATAGTAATTTACATAATAGAAATTGCAATAAAATCAATAACAACATTACTAAACTCTCTTTAATACCGACACATTTGAATAATTCAATCAATAATACAAACAAATTATGGTTCATTCAACATACTACTAACAATTCACTGATCAATCCCACAGTAAAACGTCATTTTAAACGTCGTGTAGCTAATTATCATTGTAATCAACGACCGATTTGTTTGAAAAATGCGGAACATTTAAAGCATTCATGTTATTCATTAGATACTAAGTCGGATGTTTTTTTAAACAATAAACAGGAATATGATTCACGTAGTGCACCATGTACATTGATATCAACGAAATGTATTGAAGCGCAAAATGAAAAAATGAAAATCACTAATGACGATGTCGATGAGGATGATAACGATGAAGGAGAAGAAGAAGATGGAGGAGGAGGAGGAGGAGACGTGATTAATTATCAACCATTACAATTAATATTACCAACCTCATTATCTTCTATCAATGTTAATGATATGCATTGTTTACATGGGAAATCGTTTGTTAATCGTCTGATGGATGAAAATATTATCTTGGCTAATAATAAACCAGTACAAATAACAACAGGTCATTATCATCATCAATCCATGTCAAATGAACATCAAACTAGTTTGTTGACAACATCAAGTGAATATGTTTGTTCTTCATTAGAAAATCAACCTATTCCCATTATGCATGATGATCATCAAAATAATTTCCCAATTCGTTCATGTTCATTTTTTCAATTACGTCGATTAGATTCATTGAGTTCCACTGGATCACATTCAAAACCGGATATAGATCAATTATATGCTATGAATGGTTCATTAGATCAACTAGCAGCTAATCGTGCAGCATCTTCACCAGCATCCATATGTGGAAATAATCCTCCTCATCCTCATCCCCATCATCATCCTCTTTTTTATCAACATCAACATTGTATGGAAGATCAGTATAATAAAATGAATTTGAATTGTAAAAATTATGCTTGTAATAATAATAGTAATAGTAGTAGTAGTATGAAAAATCGACGTAGTAAATGTGAGAAATTTTGGAATCCTGAGAAACATGTTTGTATTAGATCGTATTCTGCTGTAAGGCATCCAAATGAATTGAATACACGAGTGTTTCGTTCACCACTTGATGTACTTTCACCATGTAAAGGTAAGAATTTATCACTTGAACTTATTTATAATCTATAAATTAATGGTATAAATGAAGTTTAATAGTTGGTGGGGAGTATTAATGACCATGTGCGTTCCTTTTATTGTTGAACTGATACTCTCTGAACTCACTGATCTATTCATCATGAAAGTATTGATTGCAACTTACAACAAATGTTTGATTTCGCATTGTTAAGGGACGTTGGATAGCCAGAACTCACTTGATAAAGGTCCTCATTTTGGATTCTATGTTTTCGCGCATGAGCTGATCTGTTGACCTTGAGATCATATTTCCCACTCGGAACGTCCTTGACTGTTATTGGTTGGTGTATTATTTTAGTACGCTATTTTTATGGCTCTTCCAACGACGTTTCTGTCATGTATAAATAAACTGGATTTGTGTGCTTGTCAATCTCATATTTCCTGAGTGCTTGTAGAATTCACTTTCTACGCCTTATCAAGACTTCTTGCTATCGTTAGTAAGGCCGGGGACAATCGTGTCACTGCATCACTAGTCTTCGCTTTAGTTTATCGAGTAAGGTGAACTCTTAGTAGTTTCAAGCATATCACTTATGTTATTTAGGAGAAAAAATTGAATTCAACAATGTTACTGTTAAAGACTTTATTCCCATATAGGAAATTCTTTTTTGTATAACAGTAAATGATAGTACATTTTAATAGTTTCTTAATAGATAGTTAAGAAATGAACAGTATGAAAGTTTCATATGAAAAAGTAGCAAACATGTATTGTAGATCATTGCTAGTTATCATAATTTGGTTGCATGTATGTTTTATCTGTATGTTTTAATCTAACCAGTAAATTTATAGTGTATGCTATAAATGGAACAATCACCTTAAATCTTTCTAACACCTGTTGCCACTAACAAAGTATAGGCTGCTTACCTTAAAAACGGGCATTGTCCCTTTGACTTCCGAAGAAATTCGGCTGTCATTGTAAGGCGTCATAACTCTTTTAAATAAAACCATACACTTAAAAACCACCTTTAACCGTACTTACTTGCTTACGCCTGTTGTGATGCGCGCTACTTATAAGTAGTATATGACGCGAATAAAAACGTAATGTCTGGCAGTAGAAGATGGGGGAAGAACAAGAAAGGAAGAGTGGGAACACAATCGGATTTGTATGAAACGCATGAATAGTGAAACGTCATAAAATGGATGGATGATGGGCTGATATTTTGCAAATTAACAATTTACGATAAAGTTTTCCTATTTTACTGAGTAACTCTGTAATTTTCGTTAAATACCATTCGGTTGCCCTCACCTGTGTTCTCCTCCACTACACTGTTACCCCTAACGGAGCACCGGCTGCCGACCTCAAAAAAAATGGGTACCGCACTCTTGACTGCCGAAGAAATTCGGCTGTCATTGTAAGGCATCATAACTCTTTTAAATAAATACCTTTCGACTTTCAACTCAGTCGCCTACCCCATGCCCAGTTCTCCCCATTTATTCGAGCTTGGAACGGACAGTAACTTGTTATGCTCGTCAACTTATTTACCTGAAACTATTACAAGTTTACCTTAATCGATAAACGAGAACGAGACATTTAACCAGTAACAAAATAGGCTACTCTGACCCGTTGTCCCCGACCTGACTAACGATGTCAAGAAATCTTGATATTGCAGAGCAAAAAGTATTCTACAAGCACTCAGAAAATATATCGTTGACATGCACACAAACCGAATGTATTTATACACGAAAGAAACGTCCTTGGGAGAGTCACAAAAATAGCACACTAAAATATTCTACCAACCAATAACAGCCAAGGATTTTCCGTGTGGGAAATGTGACACCAAGGTCAACTGATTAGTCCATGAATAAAATCTAAAATTAGGACATTTATTGAGCGAGTTCTGAAGATCTAACTTCCCCAACACAACCTTAAAACGTCTCCGCATGTCAAATATCATGAGCTATTCTTAGTTAGTTAACCTGATATCTCAAAAATGCAATCAGTTAACCTTCTAATTATGATGCTAACTGATGTATATTCGATGCCTGGTTTAAGGAAACGTTTCTTCATAGTTATGTTCATGTGTAGTGAAGGAGAACACAAGTGAGGTTAACCGAACTGTTTTTAACGAAAATTACAGAGTTACTCAGTAAAATAGGAAAATCATATCGTAAATCGTTAATTTGCAAAATATCAGTTCATCATATCAAACTGGACTGTTCCTGTTGCAAAACATCAATCCATTGTCTGACATTTCACTGTGTCATGCGTTTCATACAAATTCCATTGTGTTCCCACTCTTCCTTTCTCTAGATCTTCCCCCATCTTCTGCTGCTAGACATTACGTTTTTTACTCGCGTCATATATTACTTATAAGTAGCGCGCACCACACATATGTTCTGTTTGTTAAACACATTTTTTTTTACAAAGTACATGAAATTATTATTGATTTTTCAATTTGTTTAAACTAACGACATCATTACATATTATATTATCTCATAATCCTAGTCTTTTTTTTTCAATGTTCAATAATATACCCTGTATAACTAATGAAATGTTCAATGTCCAATAAAACAAAAATGACACTGCGATAATAATTTATGGTTTTTTGCATAAAAATCAAAAAAAATTTCTCCTTTAACATTTCTTTCTTTCTTTTTAAATAACCGCAAAGGTCATTGAAATGTTTAAGTGCCTTATTTTTTTTCTCCTTTTTGTATGCTATAAATCATTTTTCGTTGTTGTTGTTGTTGTAATTAAGGTAGATTTATCTGTTTCTTTTTTTTCGGGACAATCGACATGAATCTTTATTTTGTATAATAATATATGAATATCAATAATATGAACGTTTGTGGTATTTTATTAATTGACAAATGATTTTTTTCTTCTTGGAATTGTATATTTTTCATACATTTTCTTATTTCTTCTTCTTGTTATTGACTAGTAAAAGTTAGATGAGAATTGTTAGTTATTTTGTATGTGATGATGAACAAATGAAATATTAAAAACTTAAATGTTACTAGTCTTAAAACAAGACAGCTAGATAATTTACTACAATAATATATATATATATATATATATATATATATATATATATATATATATATATATAATTGCTCGTATATCCTGGGACACCCGAGTGAGCAACGCTGTTATTAGGAAACGGATGCTAGGTAAGAATGGCAGATCAATAGATGAAGTAATGAAACTTCATCAGTTGAGGTGGTTGGGACATGTGTTACGTATGCCTAACCACCGACTGCCTCGGCGAGCTTTGTTTTGTAGTGTACGAATAGGTTGGGAGAAAGTTAGGGGCGGCCAAACCGAAACATGGCGGAAATCCATGAAGTCATTGACGAGTGGACTGAGCCATGTCGGTAGTTGTCGACTACCTGGTTGGGGTCCGCGAGATGATAATAATCGATGGTTAGAGACCCTGAATGACATGGCTCAAAATCGTTTGCAATGGCGCCGGTGCATTTATTCTTTGTGTTCTCTCAAATCCTAATCTTCTGGATTCTTCAACTTTCTAAACTTTTCTCACTGAATCATACTTCTTGAATAATATCTTCTAATCCTAACCTCTCCGATTACTTCTAATTCCCTTACTAACTCTTCTTCTATTGGATTTGAATTGACAATTATATCTCTGTGCTGATGTGGTATGGCAACATGAACTGATGTACTTACGTACGAAGTTCTACGTTGCATCTGACTGATATATATATATATATATATATATATATATATATATATATTTCGGTGGTGGAACTTTTCATTATTGATCTTTTAAACGACATCAATAGCATATACTTCAAGTAGAAATGAAGTGAAGTATTCTAATTTCTCCATGTACCGTAGCTTGCAGCTTGTTCTGTTGTTGACCTTAAACCCAGTGTTGTCTACCTCTTTATGTTGATTGTATCCCCTCGACATATGTTTCTTGTCTATGATTTTTCTGACTGGTTGATAAATTAGGTCAATGTCGATGTGTTTATTGATTGCTGATTGACTTCAGTGATAAACTTCCACGTAATTCACTAGTGTTCTTTGTACTCCCTCCGGCCAGTTATTCAACATTGTTCCATTCGACTGTGTTTGTCATTTGATTTGCATAGACTGGAGGCTTTACGATCAAAAACATTCAGCTTAGAGAACGAAACCTCGCCACAATCATCTACATGAGCTGCAAATTTTCTTCACCATCTCAGTATTAAAATGTTTATAAAACATAATCAACCAATCGATATGATTGGTAAATCCATTTCACATCTGAAATCACCAATCAATAATTGTTAGACCACCAACAGAAACCTGAAAGCACTAGACGGCCGTTTCGTCCTGTTATGGGACTCATCAGCATTTTTGTATATTAGAAATATGAAAAATAGTAATTAATATTCATTTGTTTCAGTTAATTGGTAAACTTTTTTGGTGATAAATTAAAACGGTAATACAATAATCTCTTTACAAAACTTTTAGTTAGGTAATAAATTTTCAGCGTATTCAATTTTAAACTAACTACAGTTACTTATATTGTGTTAAAGGTACCACTTAGTGTAATATGCACATAATTTTACTCTTATCACAAGATTACGATATCAATAAAATTAAATTCAACAGTAACTATATTCAAACAGAAATTACCAATTCAGTTTATATAAATCATTCTGAATTTCCTATGAGCAGTTATATTTCAAAAGTCTGTGCTATATTGGGACATGTGTGACGTATGCCTAACCACCAACTGCCTCGACGAGCTATGTTTTGCACAGCAGCAGTAGGTTGGAAGAAACCTAGGGGCGGCCTAACCAAAACATGGCAGAAATCCATCAAGTCACTGACAACCGGACTAAGTCATGTCGGTAGGTGTCGACTACGCGAGATGTTAGTAATCGGTGGTTAGAGACCTTGAATGACATGGCTCAGAATCGTTTGCAATGGCGCAGGTGCATCCACTCTTTGTGTTCTCTCTAATTCTAACCTTCTGAATTCCTCATCAACTCTATCTTTCTCCTTCTAAA